GCCCATTATTTTGATATTCTCGCGCGTCGCGTATTTTTTTGAATCATTACATTTCGTGCCGAAGAATCACGAACATATCATGACGCGAAGTCATAGGCAAAGTACGTATATTGGTATTCAAAATTCAATTTTCGTCGTGTGTAATGAAAATATTTAATCGAGCTCTGATTGGCATCGCATTAACTAACACATTCGTTAATTAATACTCTTCTCCGGCCGTATCATCGTATTTATGTGAGTATCGATACCGGTATCAGTGCCACGAGCAAGTATCTTGTGTGTCACAAACCTAGTATCTGGAATGCCACAACGAAGCAGTCAGGAGTTAAGATGCTGGGATGGAAAAGCTGAGACGAAGGATGTACAACGTGTGAGTAGCGATATCAATTGGACATATAATTACAATTTTGCCCTCACAATTCTTTCCTTCTCACTCCTTTGAATTTTAAAATTTTACTAATATTTTCAACGTCAATTAAAATGTATGATATAAGAGAACTATAAATGAAGAAAGTTTCTGAGTATCTGTGAAAGTTACGCAATTAATACATTGCTAATTGAAATTAAGAATAAAAATCAAATGCAAATAAAATATTTTAAGACAATCAAATATTAAGTAATTCTAAAATAAATCACTCTTTATATATAAGCTTCATTGTGCTAATGTTATTGCGGGAAATAATAAGAATAACAGTGCATCAATCGATGCCGAAGAAAATTTGAAAAATCTAGCAATAGACTTAATTGATATTAGCGATTCTAATTTAATTCTTCCTAAGCCACCCTACCGGGTAATATCTTTCGATGATAAAAAACAAATGATATACGAGCCATAACATCATATTCGATTATAAAATCATGACCCGTCGCGACGCAATCTCGACGTCGTGAACTCCGCTGCAGATCTCTGTCGAAATGTCGAATAAGCATATAAAGCGTAACAAAGTAAAACGACAGTGACAGTGGTGGTAGTGATGGTAATAGTGGTGGTGGCGGGCCGGTGACTCCCCGGTGCAGTTCCTGGTGACGTCTGACTAAGCGTTCTATTTCGACGCACTCTCAGAGGCCGCGTGACTAATCCACCGCGCGCATACATCAACGCAGGTGGAACTCGTCCGAGAATGTCGCATTTCGAGATTTGGATTAGTGGGCGAGAGCACTCGAGGCGTTATTACTGCGTTGCTCGTAAACCCCCCCTTACGAATGTCGCTCTGTACGATAGCGTGTTCTTTTTACGAAATTCAACATTTCATTTACAAACACCGCATGCCGTACATGAGAATTTCTAGCTAGAATTGAGAATTTCGCAGCGAAAGCGAGCAGAATGTTAGACGAATGTCCGATTATGGCTTGGCTTTCCTTGTTATTTGTCGACGTCGCTATTTTATGTTGATCAACATGAGGAAGAAAAATCTATTTTGAGGCAAAATTAGTTCTGAATTTTCCTAAGAATGTGTGCCGCTAAAAATAGTCGCGGCGATAGTGAAATTAGCGTGTATATTATCGAACAACAAGAGGGAGAACTGCAGATTTCTCTCTTGAATTATCTATATTTAGCTTATTGCGCTTATATATATATATATATATATATTCATCTTTGTGTTGCGATGTTCAAAGCGTTAGACATCTCTCTATTATAAGCGCGAGACGTAGGATGAAGTTAATAAATTGTATACGCAGTTTCTCCGGTGAGGAGTCACTTAGAGTCAAAATAGCACAAAGGACTCATGCCCGGTTAATAGGTCGAGGTTTATCCGTAATCGATACGATATGCAGCGTAATAAGCCGTTCCGTGAAACGCCGATAAAGATCGAACGGTAAATCCCCCCGGCGCACGTGCGTCGAGGTAATTTTCGGGTAGCTTCCAATGTACTTACAATAAGTTACACGAAAGATTCCCTAAAGAAAAACTGTGAGGTTGCTTGCCACCATGACACCATGAATAAGCAGATTCCGCAGCGCTTGCCGAGAAACCAGGAATGTGTTTACAATATCACTTTCGTCGGCAACGCGACAAGAATAGGAACGAGCGCGATTCCGCGGCGCGGAAGTTCGCGAATCACTTTCGTTGGCTTTCTTCTCGATCCTGATCGAAATTTTTCGTGGTCGAGCGAACACACCGGTTCGCCTAAACGCGCGGCTCCGCGCGACTCGATAGAAAGTTCAGTTTCGAAAACACGCGCGATAAATTGCTATGCGAGCGGCGTGAATCGCGTCCGCCGTAGAGACCGGTCCCGTCGTAATCCCTTTTTTTTTCGAAATCAAAATGCGAAGAGCGACGAGCGCAATCGCCGTATAGAATGCTAAATATCATCGATACATATCGATCTGCGAACGAAGCCTACGACGATTGAATATCGACGATATCGCATTGAGGTAGTTGTAGCATAAAATGAGTTGTTTAAGAATTTGTTGAAACTTGAATATACCGAAGCATGTAGATTTAAATATAACTGGTGCTAATTATTGGCGCAATTAAAAAACGATTAATTATTCGGAAGCTGAGATATTCGCAACTGAAAATGACATTTTTTTTACACGTGTTCCTTGAAGTTAATGTCCTATTTTAACTTTTATTTTTAATTTCTACTAAACCATATTTAGAATTTTAATGAGAAACTACTATTAAGAACTATTAACTACTATTAATACTAATATAGAGACATTATACAACAATTTCTGAATCATTGACCATTTCGTTTTGAAAATATAGGCATAAGAAATTTACAATTTATAGTAATACTCGCGATAAAGGCACATATACATATTTAAATATTTATATATCACTTTCTATTATGTGTGCCTCTCTATTAGCTCGACTTACGTATAAATAAAGTATTAATAAGAAAAATAAAAAAATAAATAATATCTCTATGTTTGTATATTTCTCTTAATTTCGCTCAAAATTAACACATTTATTAGTTAGGTAATTAAATAAAGTTATAGGAAAATATTTTCTTCCGTAAATAATAGATTTATGCAGGAATCCCTTAATATTGCTACTGAGAATCTTGCACTCCACGATGTATTTTAAATGATAGAAAGGATCTTATAAACAAAATTCCATTCTAGTTCTCGAAAGAACGCTTTTGAGCGAAGATAATACATGCAGAGAACAAATGGAAAGAATGCGTCGGTATATTTTAAGTGATTTTAATTTTTCCGTATTTTAGCGATATTAAAGATATTGCGCTATTCTTTGCGTCAATGAATAATAGTGCAAATATGTGCATATGTGTATATAGTGCATTATCAGTTAAATACACTGATATTCATGACTATCACCACTATGTAACTATGACTCATTCTACAAACTCACTCTACAAACTCAAAACCTTTTGTTATCAAGGGAAGTAATAAATGCTTCGGAAAAATATTAATCTAGCCAATTGACATATAGATGTTAACACAATTTAGATTATTTTTTTATATGCGAAAAGCCCTTTGAACGCAATGATAATTTCATTCATTTACGAATATTGGATTTAAATGAAAATATATCTATATTTTTACATAACTTATATATATTTAACATATGTCGCTAAATAGGCAAAAGTAGAAAAATCTAATTTAGTTAGATTGAGAAACGAATAAATGTTTTACAACGCAATAAGATATGTATGTACGTGAAAGTAAAAAGAGTTATTACATTATATATATAACATTAATACTAATTATTTATTTGGAATTAAAATATTCCCGGATGTTTATTCCAAGATAGTTTTGTTATCACCCTTAATGGAAGGAACAAATTGTCACCGTTCTCACTTGGAGGCATTCTAAAAACAGACAAATATTTTTTACTCCCAAAAGATATACAAAACATATCTCAATTTTTCCGGAGAATTTTTTCGATTCTACACACACAGCTGGGTTTCCTAGTCATCCAAAGCGCAGCGAAACGAGTCTCGCTCTCGGCGTTCCTCATTTCCAGGTTGGAAAGGAGAGAGACGTGTCGCACGTCTAGGGAAGGACGAGAAGCGAGACCTGAAACAAAGGATCCAGATGGTGCAGGGAGAAAGAACGGAGGGGGAAAAGGGGAGAACGACAACCATCTTCCTGGTCATAATTTAAAGCGCGAGCCCGCTCCTACATCCACGTATAACTCAGGATGCGAATAACAGTTCGGCAATGCCGATCTTGCGCAATTCGCGTATTATCCTTCGTAAAATCGTTTATTTTCAACCGTACGAAAGCTTCTCAAGTATTACGGAAATATATCTTCTCAAATCATCGCGAGGAAATATCTCACATATCAAAGGCATAGATCAACCTGTGATTGAATTTAACAAAGAGTCGGCGTTCAAAGTCTGTTTACGATATCGTTCGAGAAAATAGATAAAAAATAATTGCTACTGTGCGCGACATTGTTTGACCGCTTTAGCGGATTCCGACGGAGGGCAGCCATGCCGGAGTTTCTTTTGTAGCGTATTTCATACTGTTGCGACAAAAAGAGATGGATTTATCAATCGATTCGGATCCCACATCGAGCGAGACTACCTCCCTCGTCTCTGGCCGGCGTTCCGCTTTCGTGTAATACATTGTATACATAAATCAAGATATCTTACCGTACATTTTCGCGCGGGCTACCGTGCGAGCCGGCCTTCAACAAAGGCTTGAAATCCTCGCGCGGGAAGAAGGCGCTCGCGAGGTTAAGCGGCACGCTTCCCCTCCTTTTCATCGCGGGGATAATGACGCCGCGCGTTTACAGCTTCATTTAGCGAAGAACAGAAAGTGACGAATTGTTGCGGAACTAACGAGATAGATCGAGAGGTGGCTGTGGTAACGGCCGTAACAACGGGAAGCCACGGGAAACCTTTCGTTCGGCCTCGACCCGTACAAAAGTTCGGTGAGGTTGCTCGCGAGGCCGAGCCGGGCCGAAGACGGCCGACGCCGGCCGAGCGCTCACCGCCGTGAAACCAGCCGAGAGGACGCGAGTTTCGCCGAGCCGCGGCGTAAACGACCGATCCTGCTGCCGTGGATCAAACAACCCGCCCAGTCAGTCCCTCACGGTAAACCGGCTCGTTCGGTTCTTTCGCGTCGTCCGTCTTACCGCGTCCCTCTCTCTCTCTCTCTCTCTCTCCGTCACGGAGCGTTCTGATCCTCGCGCCTCGGATTCCGAAGCAACAACGCCCGGCGATCAGAGTAACAGTAGTAGTGATCTTCTTCGAGTGGCGAGATCCGGTGCGCCCGTGCGTACGACGATTCAGTGCGATCGATAAGTTGGTTTGACAAGCGCACGGCCCGGTGAGCCGCCATAGCTCCGCTGCCTCCTCGCATCTTCCTCTCGGATTGGTGTCCGCCAGTGGATATTACTCGGCTCGCGGGGAAAATATCTCTCTTGCAGGTAAGTGACACGAAAGGTAGCTCGGCTTCGGCGAATCGCGCGCGATCACACGCGCGAGAATTAGAAAGGCCGCGAACGAGGCGGCGAGCCTAGGAAGCGAACCGGACAAACGAACGCGCGAACGAGAGTATGCACGCTCCGGAAAGAGATCGTGGCTACGCAATTCGACTTAACGCGCGCGTGCGCTACTCTCCGCATTTCCGTCTGACCCAAATCCACTTTTGATTCGATGCTTCTCGTGAATCCCGTAATATACGATGTACAACGCGCCTCTGTGAGAAGCGATCTCAGCCACAACAATGTAACGCACGCGCGGCTATTGTAACGAGGACGGTCTCGCTAGGCATTCGTCGCCAAGGAATCGGCCGACAAAAGCGTGAAAGACGTCTGGGCCGTTCGTTAGACATCTTTAAAAGGTCCTTCAAGCTCGTGTATTGTTTGTATGAGCAAACGTACGATGCTTTCAGCCAATAGCGCTCACCGTTATTTTCGCGAAGGCGCACGGACCTTGCGACGGTTGACACCGGTGTGATGAACGAGACGCCTTTATTGGGTAAAGCCCTTGGGTTATAACTATCTGAATATTTAAAGAGTAAAATATGGCGTCTATCAACAAAACAGCGAGGTTAATTCGATGAGTTACGCATTCGATGTTCGACACGATCTGACGAGTACATTTTGCGCGCAATTATTCCCGTTCTCGCTGCTTCCTACGCAAATAACGCGCGAATTAAAGTTGAGGAAACGAGACGGGGTCTGAATTTTCGATATGACGGAGTCGCATCTAACAATTCGGATCGGATTGCATCAGTGGTCTGAGTTAAGCAAGAGTGACTAGGTGATTCTTTTTCTGAATTATTACCGACAAAAACAAACAGAAAACATTTGCCCGAACAAGCGCAATGTGCTAAGTAACGTTGACGCAAAACGGTTCGCAGACACATCTGGTTGTGCGCGTTAATCCAGCTACGTATGCAAATGCCTTTGTCGACTCGATCGTCGATCGGGTCACCAGTCCGACCGCAGCATTAAAGATCAATGCGAATAGCACTGCGTGACTGGATAATTAACGATTCAGTTTGGATGGATGATGTCTTTCTCGCGCAGTGCTGTTACCGCATGATGTGCGAACGTATTTCCATTAGTATTAACGAGTGTGCTCCTGTGTTTCGCGTGTTATTTCGGTGAGTTACATAATAGGCTCCATTAAATCGGAGCCGATTTATAACTGTTGCGTGTTCGCGAAATAAGCGGCGGAATCATCCATTCCTCTACGCTTTATCACGAACAGCCTCTCGCACGCATTCGCGTGTACGTCACGTACACGTGTCACGTGTCTTTCGTGGAATAATAACGTAGATTCTCTGGTTTATTACACGCAGATAGCGTGCTATCTCGGAAAAAATCTCGCGAAGACATCTAACAAGACCCGTCTGATTTATGAAATCTGTTTTTAACGAGATAAGACCTCTCTTTTTGGGACTCTTGATGAATTTATTAAAACGTGCGTCAATTTAATTCGATTATTGCATCGTAATTGACGTGCGAATCATATGCGTGAATATTTATTCCGATGAGAGAGAGAGAGAAAATGTTCTTTTTTAGTAATTAATCACGCTTAGATACGTCTCTATTCGATTTAACGATGTAATTTTTTCAATATGAGAGAGGATTCTGTCACTAAAATATTATCTTTTTCTCATAATAGCGATAAGAAGTAGCTTGAAGTATCGCCATCGCTTCACGCTCACAAATCGTCCAGGTTTACGGTTAACGATCGAGATCGCAAGGCGTGAGACTCATTCCGAAAAAATTCGCGCTGTTGCAAGATCTCGGGTTGTGACACGGGTATCGATAATTCCGCTAGTTTTCTTGCAGTCTTCCTCTCGACTGCCCCCTTCGGAATTCGTCGAGTTTTGATTTTTGACCGCAAGGTACTCTTTCTCGCGGTGTCTGTTGCGGCACGTAGTTTATCGATCACTCGGTGAAAGTGACGCTTTAGCGTTCGATACAAATTTAGAAAGCCGGCCGTGCCATCCGCGTCTCGATGCAAATAGTGCTTCCTCGCGACTTGACGTTAGAATTTAGAGCTTCGCAACACACTCGGGAGATATGTATCAAAGACACTTTCACATCGAAGTGCACACTTACAGACGGAGTCTCTCGAAAATGGTCGAGATTTCGCGGATAGTCCCTTCACTCTCCAATATATTACCCTTTGAGACATTAAATATCTTGACAACCAACTGATGTTGATTACACACAATAGTAATATCGATTGTGTTACATATGATACAATTTTTTATATACGACAATAATTATCTGCAATGTGTTTCTAAAAATATATCCCAAACTGTAGGAAACTTACAAGCATATCATTTTTCTCAATAATCCTCTATAATCCTTCAAACCATAATTTTCAGGTATTAGAGCATTCTTCGTATAGTTTCGACTTCGCTCCTTTATACCTATATCCTCTATTATCTGTTTAGATTCCTCAAACATAACAAAGATTGCGAGATCATCGTGTTGCTAACATATGAAAGAAGCGATGTACAAGTGGCTTGCAGTACCGACTGAAAACAATTTTCTAAATATGAATAAACTTGTAGAACGTTGAGCCACGTGCATTGCAAAGCAAGGGGACTATATTGAAAAATGATGCGTTTACAAGTTCTCTAAAGCTTTGTAATACATTTTTCGAAACACATTGCGAATAATTATTGTTTCCCTTTCACATTATATCGGACTTTGCCCCCACTTCTATTCGGCGATGAAGAAATAATAATTGCTTCGCATCATCCAGAGAATCTGCTTCGTGGAAAAACGAATCGCTCGTTTTTAACGAGCGATGTAATTGACGTGATTTGCTCCACATGCGGAACGCAGGTGGAGGAAACGCGTCGCTTCCCGTTCTTTATAACGTTCCGATACCGGAAATTCTGACGAACGTAACGCGTGAACGTTAGTTAACAGACGATGAGGACAACCGTCGGTAGAAATCGATGATTTGCTTGTCATTTGTCCGCTTTGATAGTCACGGAGGAAGTAGTCGGTTGTCGCGCTTTCACGACCATTGTACTTTCTTCAGCATCAGTTATCCCTAAGAGCTTAATATCTTTACCTAACATTGTTTAAGTAGACCGCGGGAGGTCGATGCACGAGAATGACCGTAAAGAGACGTCCGCGAAATATTCGCGGGTAGAGACTTTATCGAGAGAGTACCGCATCAGTCCGGATGACAGTTAATGAAGTGACTTGTCTGTTCCCGGACGGCGAAAACGCCAATAGACTTAATGCGTTTAGCAATTAGTTCATTCACGGCGAAATCCATAGCGTAATTATGTCACAAATGTATTGATCATTACTTTGACATGAAAATAACTAGGCAGGTAGACAAAAAATTTTTTGTCAAATAAATTTTTTGTCAGATTTTTGGTCACGGAAAATAATGCTACTGGCCAAATTGTTTCATCACTTTAGGTTTTTAAGTTATTTCGAGTTTTAAGATGAAAAATCAGTGATTTATAGGAAAAAATATATGATAAAACAATTTAGCCAGCGGCAATGCTTTCTGTGACTGAAAATCTGTAAGAAGCACTTATTCTGATTAGAGTTACTTGACAACATTTTTTTGTCGACCTGCGCTATATATTTGCCGGGTATTACTAATATGGATCTCAGACTTTACAAATTCTTAATTAAAGAGTGTTCATTTGCTTGATAAATTAACAAGCCTCGTTGTTGGGCATTAAAAATCAATAAAAGCAGCACAAGTCGGCGGAAGATTATCGGATATCTAAATATAGATCATCGGAGCACGGATTAATCGATCGACGTGGACCGACATATTAAATTACACGTCGCCTTAATTAACCGCTCTCGCATTTGCATTCACCATTTCTCCCAGTTTAGAAAACCGGTTCATCGCTGAAGTACGTACATAGTACACAAGCCATGCTGCAAGCGGAGATGCGAATGCTACTCGCTGGTCCGCTACTTTCTTGTAGCTGCCGATTCGAGCTATCTTGACGACAGCGACATGCCGCGAAAGATGATGAAAAAGTTAGCACGCACCGCGACTGACTTTCTCTGCGTCGGTGTACCGTCGAGTAAATTTCCATCTGGCGCATCCGCGCGAGTATTGTTTTAATTCTTGAGTAATAACGAGGAAATGGGAAAAAAAGAGAGACCGTATCTTGCGATTATGGCAAAATTTCGTGATCTGCGAAGCTCTTTCGTCAGGAATCTTTCTGACGTTGCGCACAACATGCTACTGAAACAGAGGAGAGAGTGAGAATATGAAATCGAGTGGAAAATTTCAAGATATAAAGTGTTTAAATTTCTCTTCAAGAATCTATAAAAGTTTCGAACTGTCTATGATTTAAATAATTCGCCGTGTATTAAAATGCGCATCAAATTATATACCCGTAGATCTATAATTTTATCAGTTATACTTATTTCCAGGTTTCTTAACCTGAAAAATATGATGACAATATCGTGTTACTTAGATCTGATTACAACATTATTATTTTATTTTTAAGCGAGACTTAAGCATGTGTCTATTGATATCCTTGTTTCTAAATAAATAAAAACAGACATATATTTAAGTCTTACTTGAGGGCAAAATAATGTTAATGCAATCGGATCTTAAGGGTAAATCCGGTATTTCGTATTCTTATCTTTTTTTCTACTGTAATAAGCGAGTCCGTTATCGTTAAGATCTTATAAGATAATTGGCGATCTACTCGATTGACCTTAAGTTTAGTCGCTTCTCCTACAAAAGGCTTTTCGGCAGCTTCAGTAAACCGATATACGTATCAAGAGAGAATGAACTGGTAAGTAACGAGATTAAGACTCAATGTAAAAGGTAATAAACCTTTCACATTGATTTCACGATTCAGGTAATAAACTAAATGTTAAGGTTATTCCGTTTGTCTTCGGTTTCCGGTCGCGAGAAGACATTCATTATATAACGTGTGATATATGACTAATTGTCA